GTTTCTTTAGTAAGTCATTGTCATAATTGATAGTTTGCAGTGACATCATGCTGGAGGTGTACTACATGCATCTCTAGTGCTGGAATGTTCGGCACCTACCATGGTGACACAGTGAACAGATTAGCAAACACAGACAAAAAAGTTTAAAGATGAAAACTCAAGAGATGCTCCAATTCTCTTGGCACTTGCCCCCTCGGTCTTCACTGCTGCAGAGTCCATTTCATTGGACAGAAATGATAAAAAGCTCTTGTCACACTTAAGTAAGAAATCAATGAGTTTACAACATTGTGGTCCAAACACTGTCTTTGCCAAGCCTCATTTGAAGATGATGCCAAGGTTTTTTTTTTCTTAGGCCTATAGACCAGCTTAGATTTCAAAAGCCTCCCATACACTGTTATATGTCATTACATTAGAGATTTAACAATATTCAAATCTCTCTGTACGATATTTATTGCGATAATTTGTGCTACTTTTTCCTCTTGATAACAGCCTTTGGTTCTGTCATAATACAAAGAACTAAGATTTAAAAGTGTTTAATAACTAATTTCATCATGTATTCTCCACTGAAACAGCAGAGGATCATGGTATATGTAGTTCCATCTGTTTTTTTTAGCTGTTGTTGCTCCATAGCAATGAATTTAAGCAAAGAGGCTGTGATTCAGTACATTGCAGAGGTGGGATCAAGTCTTTGTGTTGCAAGTCTCAAGTAAGTCTCAAGTCTTTGACCTTAAGTCTGAGTCAAGTCCCAAGTCAAATACAGGCAAGTCCACAAGTCCAAGTCAAGTCCAGGTCAGCTGCTTTGAGCTTCAAATCATTTTCAAGTCTTTAAACCAAAGTACGAAATATAGCTTAGACTTTTACAATTTATATGACCTTTAAGATAAATTGCACTTAAGAAGTCATAGTAGATTTGCATATGAGTATTTATAGAGTATATAAAAGCTGTCGAAATTAATGTAGTTATTTTTTCCTTTTTAAATGTCTTGACAAAATCTTAGTGTTAATCATTATGGTCAGAATAGAAAGAATTCGGATTTAAAAGCATTTCTCAAGTCTTCTCAAGTCCGAGTCAAGTTCCAAGTCACTGACCTTCAAGTCCAAGTCGAGTCCCAAGTCTTAGTCCATTTTGATCATTCACAGCTCTATTCACAGCTCATTTATTTATCACTGCAGGTCCAAAACATATTTACCGCCAGTATAGTCACTTTAGAGTAGGTCAGTGTAAGAGACAGCAGGCTGTTTATGTGTGGGAGCTACAGCAGCTAAAAAATTAGAAAGAACCAAAAGTAGCTACACATTTGCAACACAGCGCTCACACAGGAAATTCTCAGATCACAAGTCTTCACTAATAAGTTTGATAAAAACAAGAAGTAGTTTTGTTGCTGGACTAAACTGAGCTCAAGTTCACTTTTATTTATAGTCAGTATCGTGAATCAGACACAAGAGCGTTTAAAGCGGCGCCTCAGTGTTGCGCACATGGATCTTGTAACCAAGATCACGAGAGTGACGTGAGTCTAGGGGTGCGTTCAGGGGCAGTAGGCCAATAGCTGATATGTCTCCAATTGGCCATATCGGCCGATTATATCCACTATATAACCGATATATCAGTCAGGCCCTAGTCAGTATTTATTGTGAGGACTTTTTCTTGGTACTACTGGGAAATATTTGGTAAATTTTCTGAAATATGATGATATATTTCTTAACAGTATTGTAATTTTTTTATATTTTTTTGTGAATATTTCTAATTTAAGGTTTGCTTCCAATATTATTATGACCACACATGGCTTTTTCACTTGTAACACATAAACTTTTGCATCTATCTATTTAGTACAGATTCTACTGGTGTTATCTAGTTGTAAGATTAGACCAATGTCATCAGAGCTCTTTTAAGCTGTTTGTCCCATGAGTAAATATTCCACAGTTACAGATGGGACGCTCCGTTTATGTTTGGATCCAGAGAACAGAGAGGATTTTCCAAAATAAACTCCATTAACGCATTATCCCAGCAGCCACAGGAGCAGGGGAGGAGATATAAAATGACAAAAACAGACAACAGTGACCTACTTAAAAATCATATATTATGCAAAACTGACTCATGTGAGCTTTTAGTCATGTTGGAACACTGTTGCCTCCTCAAAAACATACATGGAGCTGTGTTTTGTTTCATTCACACATCATTGAGTAACACTTTATTATTAGTTGTCTACATTTCCAAAGCTCAAAATACTTGTTGTGATATTATAAGTAGGTAATTTGAACTACTGTATTTTTTATTTTTAGTCGCTCTGGAGTATAAGTCGCACCAACCAAAAAAATGCGTATTGAAGAAGAAAAAACGTATTTAAGTTGCACTTTTTGAGTGAAATTTATTTTATAAAATCAGAGACCAAGAAACGACATTTCATCTTGAAAGGCAATAGAATAGAGAACAACAGGCTGTTAATGACACATATGAACAGTTCTTCAGATAACTAGCATAAACAACAGAACAGAAGAAGTTTACAGAACTCTCCATCTCACTCCAAATCACTAAATCCATTGTATTCTTCATCCTCTGTGTCACTTCTGAGCAACTCCATGACCTCCACCTCCTCTTCTGTGTAGTTGTCATCAGACTCGGCATCAGTTCCAGTTAGAATTACTCCAGCCTTTCTGAATCCCAACAGGATGGTTTCAGTTCTCTTTATGTTTGTTTAAATTTTAAACAAACGTCAGTGATACAGAAATAATGGTGCGAACGACTGACATGATACCAGACAGGACAGCAGCTCTTTCTCTTTCTTCTGCAGCCGACATGTGCGGTAGAGTGGTACAGGACCACACATAGAGCGCCCTCTCGCAGCTGTCAGTGAGAAAATTTTAACATATAAGTTGCGTTTAGTGGTTTTACTTCTAAAATTATTGTATCAGCACAGATGTTTACATCGACAGTCTGTTGTAATAATAGATTTGCTTCGGGTGTTTTGTGGAGTGGATAAGACTGTTTTTAGTGGCAGGATAACTATGGTCATTGACATGCACTAGTCTAGCACCAGCGACCTCTGCAAATACAAGGAATGGATGGAATATTTTATTATATATATATATATATATATTCTCCAACACTCTGGTTCACTAGGAAATTAGGTCCTATGTCCAAATTCCAGACTGTCCTTTTAATATCTGGTATCCAGTATTGGACTAAAAAAGCTGGATCGATGCATCCCTGTATTTAGTACTGTATGAGAGTTGGTAGAGTTCTCCTGCTCTCTGTAAACATTGTAGAGTGATAAGATGAATACTGTGGTTGTGTCCTGGGGCAAGGCACTTAACCCACCTTGCCCCAGTGCATGTGTACATTTGTGTATGAACGTGTGTGTGAATGGCTGGAAGTTGTTGAGAAAAGTGACATTGAAAATAGTCTTTTGTAGTGGCTTAAAGATTAAATTGAAATGCCTGTGGTAATATCTGGCAGAGTTAGAGTTCGGTTTGACTGAGATACTCCTCCACACGGCCTTCACTTCACTCTTTCAAAGCTTGAATAAACTCTTTTCACTCCGAGTTGTTTGTCCTCTCTGGCTTCCCGTACCGCCTCTGTAAAGTCTGAGTCCGTCTCAGAAATCACAGTCATTATCTTGACACGTCTAATTCAGGCTTCTCTCATTTCAAGATGGTTCTTTGTGTTCTGGGTTTGCAGCTTCCTGTTATAACATTTTGAAGACTTTACTCCATTCAGAAGACATAGCATTTAGGTTTAAATTGTTAATCGCTATGACAACGGACCTCGTTTGTTGTCACTCTGAAACCCACGGTCTAGAAGTTGATTTATGCTGTTGGTGAAGACCGTGTAATATTTGTGAATTTTAAAATAGACGACAAAATGTGTTGAATAATTTGTGCCTCTCAAACTGCTACTATTCGTGTCACTGCTCATTACATTTTTAATACAGCTCTTCTCTCTCTATTTAAAACAGAATATTCACTTTTTTCATTATGTTTTTTGTTTATTTTATTGGACATTAAACTAATGTCCAAAACATGAACCTAACCCATGTATTTGTACTTACGTTTCTTCTGTACAGACCATAGACTGTATATAAATGGACAAAGCAAACCCACTAGCCATTGCTTTCCAAGTAAGTGAGTATGGGCGCATTTCTGGCTCCACTGATTCTGACACCATTTCACTTTCTATTGAAAAACTGTTGCTTCTGTCTGCAACTGCTGCTTGTCAGTTTGGTCTTAAAATGTTCGTATTAACCCGCTCTACATGATCCTTTATCCCGCGATTTTTAAAGGTGCCAGTCCAGTAAAAATCTGTAATATTTTATGTTTTTTTTTTACTCAAAATGATGCAGAATCATGTTATTAATATTAATTCAATTCAATTCAATTCAAATTTATTTATATAGCACATTTAAAACAACTTCAGTTGACCAAAGTGCTTCACATACAAGTCAACAGCAACAGCATAGAAGAAACAGTTACATATACAAATATACAGAAAACATGTTAAAACCAAGATAACCTGACTAGCTGTACTAAATGCAGGGAGAAGAGGTGAGTTTTCAGTCTTGTCTTAAACTGCGTTACAGACTGAGAGGATTGACAGCAAGAGGAAGGCAATTCCATAGTCTGGGCGCTGCCACAAAAAAGCTCGCCGTTTATAATCACCTGAAGAACATAATGCACTGGCTACAAAACATGAACAAGGACTGAACCAGGACTAAACCAGGACTAAACTAGAACTAAACCAGAACTGAACCAGGACTAAACCAGGACTAAACCAGAACTGAACCAGGACTAAACCAGGACTAAACCAGAACTGAATGAGGACTGAACCAGGTCTAAGCTAGAACTAAACCAGGACTATTCTTGGACTTGATAGAGAGAGAGAACCCCGAGCCTGTGGAGCAGGGTGTCCACAAAGGGCAAGGGCTGCTTTAGCCTCGTGAGGCGCAAAGCTCTGCGCCGGTCCTTTCGCCTGCGATCATCCCGTCTACACGCGCCCCACCCGACTCTCAGTCCTGGTTCAGTTCTGGTTTAGACCTGGTTTAGACCTGTTTTAGTCCTGTTTTAATATATTTTCACCATTGCCAATAGCTCCGGTTTCACATTTAAGTTGTAGCTATTTTATATTTTTTATTTTTTTATATCTCACATTGGGAGAAGTGGGTGAATGGTGTACCCCCACGTAACACGGCCACTACACCTGTGCCTTTATCACTATTTTGTTTGTAAATCAAGATATGAACATTAACAACAGACAAATCAGGCGGCTTGTTTCCCCGAGGTCACTCCCACTAACATTAGCAACAGGTTTGCTTGACAGTGTTGCTAAGTGAGAGAGTGGGAAGGGGCGTTACCTTCAAAAGCCTCACTCCTGATTGGCTCTTTTGTTGCTATGATATTCTCTGTAAGCGCTGCCCTCGTGAGCTTCATTTGAGTGGAGCCGAACACTATGGGTGACATCACACTCCCTCTGTGCTTCAGCGCTGTATTGTGTGTCATATCTTGACATGTTTCGGCTGCACTCCTCAGAAGTGTCGTGTGTCATGGGGTGAGTGTGCCAAAACTGTCAAGGTATGATAAAAACAGAGCAAGAAAGTAAAGGATTCTGTAATTACATCAAAAGACCTAATGAACCTAATCTAACCACCATGTTTCTTATAGGATGTCAACAAGCCATTAAAGTGACACGCAAGCACAACCAATCAATAAGTAATTTAATGTAACAGTGAATGATAACGGCCTAAGTCTATTTGCCAAATTAATGTAATTCATGTCAAATAATCATTACAGAAATATGCAATTTAAAAGTGAGTTTTCAGCAGCACGTAGTTGGTATATGAGAGTAACTATTGCCCCCTCTTACCCCTAAACCTTTGCCTCTGTGTGCAGCCAAAGCACGGCGTTGGACAGAGCTGTGTGTGGAGGAGCAGAGGGCGTATGTGATGAGGCTGCTGGACGCTTTGGAGGTCACAGATCGCGACAAGAGGCTGAAGGTCGCCCGGGCCATCCTCTACCTCGCCCAGGGTAAGGGACAGTCAGATTTTATTTTACACTATTTGCTGATTTATGTTATAATGTTTCTTCATCACAGACGGACCTGGAGTTGTGTTTTGATTCATTCACACCTTGTGATGTCATGTGGCAATACAGGAAGGGCTTCACTGTGGTTTTAAACTCCGTAAAGCTTCACTAGTATAATTTGATGATTTCAGCCCTGGAATTGCCAAGCCAGGCTGGTGCCACCTAGTGCCTCCGCTCAATTTCATTTCTCTCAAGCGACTAGGTCAGGAATCAGAATTCACTAAATTGTTTGCAAGAACCCTGGAAGTTGTAGACCACGCACTGGCCAATCAGCGAAGAGCTGTGAAGCCATGACTGGGTCCCTTTTTGTGGTACAGCACAACAGTAAACAAAGCGGTTGAGATGGATGTAGTCGAAGCCATACATTCTGTGTTGGCAACGAAGATCGAGGATTTCAAACCAGAACAAAGAGAATGTTTGGTGAATTTTGTCAAGGGGAAAGACGTTATTGCCCTTCTTCCTATGGGATTTGGGAAAAGCTTAATATACCAGTTTGCCCTGTTAGCAGCGCATTACATACGTCATGACTAAATAGCAGCGATTGGTTTAATAAAAAAAGTACCCGCCTACCCTCGAGTGAACAAATGCTGCGAGGTCATATGGTTTCCACGAAGTGACACCAGCTGATGAATCAGGCTAGGAATTGCCTGTCTCTGAACTAAAGTTTGAAGGTAGCTGTTAACTTGAAAACTACCACCACATGACATCACAAGGTGGAACAGAGCTTTGGAGATGTAGACAGACTAATAATAAATGGTTACTCAAACATGTGTGAATGAAACAAAACACAACTTTAATAATAAATATATATATAGGTCATTGTTGTGGTTTGAAAAATCACTGAAACTGAAAGAAATAGAAAACAATATTTCATCAGCTTGTGTTGGAAGAAACAGCAAGAAATATTCAGCGTCAAACTGAGATTACACTTTTTTTCGGACCCTTTTTACATGGAAGATCTTAAGCAGTGGTTATTACTTATTTCATCAAAGAGCTCAACCAAATGTAGAAATGTGTCGAAACATGATCCTAATTCACTTCTGATATCTTGTTTTGTTGTTTTATTCCCCCTTTTTTCCTCCTTGTGTGTGTTTCTTTGTGCAGGGGTGTTTGATGAGTGTGACACAGAGGTGGACGTGTTGCACTGGTCCAGACACAATGTTTTTCTTCTCTACGACATGGGCATCTTCACAGCTCTGTTAGAACTGCTCAGCATGGAGATGGAGTGAGTACTGCACACAATATGCTAACTGTAATGGCCAACAGTTCTTTATTATTACTTTTGTTTGTCATATGTGTACTGCTATAAGAGACTTTCTGTATCATCATTATCATCAAAGCTGTATTTTGAACATTTACACAGTCCATAGAACATTTAAAAGATAACACACAGACAAATGTACTACAAAAAGTATATCATAAAGGCTAGAATTATCAGGGTAATAAAACGAGTTAAAAAACAACAAAAATATTTTATTGAAAAAACTGAAAAACTCCAAACATGTTCTCTTAAGTATGGGATTCTTGTTTTAGTTCAGTCATTTTTAACAATCTACTAGTTTAAGTCACAGGACCACCCAAACCATGAAAAAAGTGCGACTTATCGTCCAAAAAATACAGTATTTGCCATTAGATTACAACTAAAATAAAAAGACAGCAACAATAATAAAAGTGTGAGTTAGAACATCTTTTTGTCTCTTATTTATTTATTGATACCAAATAATAAATTATTAAACTTTCAACTTTCTGAACCTCATTTTCAGGTACTCCATATTTGTAACACAGTCTCACCTTATTTTCGTATTTCACCTGTGGAGTTTTCATTTTCTTCTATGTAAATAACCGCAGAGACAGCTCAGACTTGTTGAACATGTAATATAAGTGTGTTTACAAAGGGAGGCTATGCAAATATAATGTAATTCTGTTTAATCTGCTACAGGGGATGTAATCTTGAGGGCACAATGAACATTATGCAGGAATAACAGTGAAGATCATATCTTATTCTACACTGTGTTCATATTTGTAAAAGAGGAGAGTTCTTCTGTTGCTTCTGTCAAACTCGCTTTAGATCACAAGGTGCATCTGAAAAGGCTAACCAAAGAAATCATATTTACTCAAACTGTGGGACTGCTAGAAAATGTTTCCACCATATTTATTTACTTTAATCAGGTTTATAAAATTTTTATAAACTTTTAATTTAGATTTTAGTGTTTTGCCTTAGTCTGATTCATCAGCCGGTTTCACTTTGTGGAAACCGTCTGACCTCGCAGAATTAGAATTCGTTTGCTCGACGGTAGACGGGTACTTTTTTATTTAACCAATCGCTGCTGTTTGGTCGTGACGTCTGTAATGCACCAAATCCCGTAGGAACAATGGCAATAACGTCTTTCCCCTTGATAAAATTCACCAAACATTCTCTTTGTTCCGGCTTTAAATCCTCAATCTCGTGAATCGTTGCCAACCAAGAATGTATGTCTTCATCTACATCCATCTCGACCGCTTTGTTTACTGTTATGTTGTACCACAAAAGGGACCCAGACAGACGCTTGAGTTTGACGTCATGGCATCACAGCTCTTTGCTGATTGGCCGGTGTGCTGTTTATAACTTCCAGGGTTCTTGCAAACTGTCTAGTGTATTCCGATTCCTGACTTAGTCGCTGGAGAGAAATTAAATTGAGCAGAGGCACTAGGTGGCCCCAGCCTGGCTACATCTGAAAGGGCTATCCAAAGAAATCATATTTACTGAAATTGTGGGACCTGTGCAAAATATAAATAAAATGGAAATTTTTCCATCGTATTTACTTTAATCAGGTTTATTAAATTTTTATAAACTTGATTTTAATGAGACTGGGACTATGCACAATATGGACTTATTCTGCCTTGTCCACTTTTGCCTCTTAATGCTTAAATGCCCTTCCAGTTAAGAAAAACAAATCAATATTTCAATGTGCATGAAGCACTAACTGTCCGTCATTCTCCTCCTGATTCATTCAGACCTTTTACCTCTTTAACTGATGTTGTGCCTGTGTGTGTGTGTGTGTGTGTGTGTCTGTAGTAACAGTCAGGCGTGCAGCAGCGCAGTGAGGAAACCAGCCATCTCCCTCGCAGACAGCACAGAGCTCAGGTAAAAGCTATAATCATATAATAATAGTGAATTATACACATAAGCACATTTTATACCAACTACATAAACGTAATTTATTCTGTTATTTTTGTTTATGTTAAAGGACCCACATTACACTATTTTCTGATTTATGTTCACAGACATGGAGTTATGTTTTGTTTTATTCACACATGTTTAACGCACAAACCTGCATATTTAGGACTTCTTCTCTTAGACAGAAAACACTCCGTTCCACCTTGTGATGTCATGTTGTAATACAGGAAGTGCTCCACTGTGTTTTTAAAAACCATACACCTTCACTAGAGTCATTTGGACAATTTCAGCTCTGGACGTGCCCATCTCTACTAACCAAAAGGTAAAATGTGTGAAACAAAACACAACTCCAGGTTTTTGATGAGGTAACAACATTATAACTAAAAGTTCACGTGAGTTTGCCTAGTATGGGACCTTTAAATACATTCATTTTTACTATGAGTGAGATTACCTCTCCGCAGATCTGACCTGTAACTTGACCTGGAGGCATCACCTGCTTATCTTCATATAAAAAAGCAAAAAGAAATAGATACATTAAATGCCATAATGTGTAATATTACTGGTAAAGCAATAGTATCTCCAAAAGTTACACAGTGCACCTAAAAAGGCTGTTGTGTTTTCCTAATAAACCATGCAGCTCCATGGTCCATGATTTTATATACATTAAACATTTATGCATAATTTATTTTTTGTACTAACTGCATGCTTTGTAATTATATGTTATTATATTTAATTTCATTTACAGTCTGCTCCAACAGCTTATAATGAAATTGATTTTGAACAAAACAGGCTTAACGATACACAACACACACACACACACACACACACACACACGGACACACACACGCTCCGTCTGTGTACTCCCAGAAGAACACTCACTATAATTACAGCCAAATGACAAAATATGAGTGAAAACTGGTTTCAGATTCAACAATTACTTTGAAAACAGCAAGAGGCTTTGTGGAGTTAACTAAGCTTTTAATGTGTAAAATACTCCCTGATTATATGAATGGGGGTTTATTAGGCAAGATTAGTCTCCATTGAATCAAAATCTAATGCAACTGTTTATAACGACCTTTGCAAACAACATAATGTCTCTGACTTTAGTTTAGATCTCTGCAAAGCTGGACTGAAAAGCAAAGTCTGATTCTTAAGATTACATTTAAAAAGCACAAGCATGTAACTTTTCTGTTTGCGTCTGCCATCTGCTTGTGACCACTGAAATGTTATTCCTGTGCCAATAATGTTCCAAAGTATGGCATTTTCTCAACTAGAAAAGTTATATAGTGCATCTTTAAATGTTTTCCTGGAGGTTTTGAAAGTGTTAAGTGTGAACTGAATCTAGATTATTAAAAATGTAATAGCCAACTAATTGTAAATATTGCCCAAATTATTCCTCTCTAGATTCTATTAAAGCCACTGCATGTGACTTTCTTGAGGTGCATGTCACTTGCATGATTCCATGGAAACAGAAATTTAATAGAGATAGATAGAAAATTATAACCAAAGGAATCATTATCACTAAGTTAATCAAAACAACTGCTTCTTCGAGCTTTGTGTCTGTGTCTTTGGCTCCCGCTGGATGTAAACGGTGGAGCTAATAGGTGTTAGCCCATTACTGCGGAGGCTAAACCACAGGAGGTTCCTTCCCACAATCAAGGGGCAATCAAACTAAACTCTGGTTGAATTAATTGAAGCAAATCTTGAGACCTCCAGGAAAAAGATATTATCACACCTAACACCTGTTAGCCCCAGTGCTGCATCCAGTGGGACTCACAGTCACTAATACAAAGCCCTGAAGGAGCTACAGCAGTATTTACCAAACTTTTTTTGTGGGGACCCATATTTTAAAAGTCACAAACCTTCACAACCCAAGTCAATAGACATTATTCATAAATCACAAAATAAAGATGGATTTGACCATTATTGAAAATTAATGAGGATATTTTATTGTTGACTGAGCTGAACTCTGAACAATTAATGTTATTCAAGTTTTAAACAATGAGGTATCTATAAGTATCCTGAAGTGCACTGACCTTTGCTGATTTATCACCCTTCTTTTTGGACAACCAAGCAAACATTTCTTAGCTGCAGGAACACTCGTTCAGGGCAGGCAGAGAGGATTCGCTGACTCACTCGCTCTCTCATGTGTCAGAAAAGTATATCGCAGACCTACTTGCAGATTGTGACAAGGCGACCCAAAAAAAAAAATCTCTTGTGACCCACCTGAGGGTCGCTACTCAGTCTTTGGGAAACAATGTCCAGTTGTTTTGATTAACTTGTGATAATAACTTATGCTGGGATGTCTCAAGATTTGCTTCAATTAATATAGCCAATAAAACATTTCTTTTACTCCATCAGAGTAAGGACAGTCTGTTTTTTTGACTAAAAAGTGACATATTGTGGCTTTAAAGAAGATTGAACCAGTCTTTTTCTGACTCCTTCTAGAATGAGCGTACCTTCTGTAAGATTTATTGTATTGTTACAGGGTGTTGTTGAGCATCATGTACCTGATGGTGGAGACGATTAGAGTTCAGACTGAAGACGACAGACCAGAGTGGAAAACAGCCAGAGAGTCCTTCAAAAATGAGCTAGGTTTGTATTGAACACAGGCAAAGTCCAAAATATACTCCTCAGGCATCCTTGTGAATTGACCCTAAAGACCCATGAGAATCAACAGTTTTATTTCATCTCCAGGTTCCCCTCTGTACAACGGTGAACCCTTTGCCCTCCTCCTCTTCACGATGGTCACCAAATTCTGCAGCATGAACGCTCCACACTTCCCCATGAAGAAAGTCCTACTGCTCCTCTGGAAAACTATTCTGGTACTGGGAGATTCAACTGTAAACTTGATGTAAGCCTGTGCAATTGTCCTTGACTCTTTGCCTCTGTGTTTCTTTTAGTTCACGCTGGGTGGTTTTGAGGAGCTACAGGAGATGAAGGTTCGTGGCCGTGAGCGTCTGAACCTGCCTCCGTTGCCTGAGGACAGTATTAAAGTGGTGAGAGCGATGAGAGCCGCCTCGCCACCCGCCTCTGCGATGGAGCTGATCGAGCAGCAGCAGCAGCAGAAGAGAGGCCGGCGAAGTCGAAGGGTAAAGGACACAGACCAGTGCATGGATATTTAGCATCAATATTAACAACATAGCCCCAAGGTTATGGATGGGTATTATGTTTGGAATTAAAGGTGCACTATGTCACTTTTCTGGTTGTCTCCATGGATGCAACCAGGTGAAACCTCTTGGCCAAGTTATAAGTTAGATATGTGAAGAGACGACCCTGCTCATAGTAAAAATACATGTCATTAGAGTATATCAGCCACAAAAACATGTGTAAGTGAATACATGCAAGATAGATACATTTGGCCATACTGTGGAACATTTTAAGCAAAACAGTACCATCTCCATGGAGACAAGCAAGTGGCACGCCTCCAACAAGAAAAGTTACATAGTGCACCTTTATTGTCAAACATAATACAATTTTTTTCCTAATAATATTGGAGGGGCCGTGAGGTTTTGAAGCAACAATTTATGTTTTAGTAAAACTATTCAAAGTGATTTTTGCTAATAATGCCACTGTATAGCCCTAACATTTCTAAATAAGCTTTACTTATTTCTCTAATGTCTAATCGTTACCTATAACACTTTGTTTTCCAAGTAACACTGGGTCTGTGACGGCGCTGGAGCCCCATTATTGTCACCCATAGAGCTTAAAGGTTCTTTATCACACAGAACTGACTCCTGTGAGCTTTAAGCCATGTTATAATGCTGTTACCTCCACAAAAAGAGACCTGGAGTTGTGTTTTGTTTCATTCACACATGTCTGAGTAACACTTTATTATTAATCTGTTTACATCTCCAAAGCTCAAAATGCTCTGTTCCTCCTTAAGATGTCATGAAGCGGTAGTTTTCAAGTTAACAGCTCCTTTTTAACTTTATTTCAGTAGAGTTTGGCAAATCCAGGGCTGAAATTATCCAAATGATTCTAGTGAAGGTGTGTGGAGTTTAAAAAACACAGTGGAGCACGTCCTGTATTACCACATGACATCACAAGGTGGAACAGTGTGGCTTTTGTTTGAGAGAAGAAGACAGCCTGCAGGGTTTTTGTGTTAAACATGTGTGAATGAAACAAAACACAACTCCATGTCTGTTTGTAATGAAGAAATAACATTATAACATAAATGAATAGCATAATATGGGCCCTTTAAAAGCATATATAGTGTTATTATAGTATTTGATGCCCCTCTCCTTGTGTCCCTACAGAGTGCCTTTGTTGATAGCTTGGAAGGAGACAGTCCCTTTCCCAAGAAGCAGGTCTTTACCCATAATGCCGTCTTCCCTTTAAAACCTCTGCATCGTTTGTGTACATAGAGCTGGACTGCACACTGCTCTCTCACATCCCGCTGCCATGTTTGGTTTTCTATCTGTTGTCTTTAAACTCTGTCCAGTCCTAAGGGAATGCTTCTATTCTGTGAGTAGGCCTGTCACGATAATTACTGTATCAACTCAAATCTATGAAAGCTGGAATTGTATATTTTGGGGCTCAGTATTTATCATGTGTATAGTTTCTTAGAAAAAGTGGGGAAATTTGGGGTACTTTTGTTGTAATACAATCATTTTTGAGCTGTAGAAGGTCGAATAAGTGACGTTTATGGCTAATTATTGGTTGAGTCTATTATTTATCTGTTGCAGCCCAGATTTTTTAAAGGTGCATTGCGTAACTTTTTGGTTGGATATGTCATTGCTCTGCTTAGAATGATCCACAGTGTGACATTAACCAGACCTACTCTACATTTATTAAATTATAGGTGATTTTATTGCTCAAAAATACCTAAAAATTTGCATTCTGACTGTGAGCAGGGTCGCTTCTCCAGAGATCTGACCTGTAACTTGGTCTTGGTTTGGTCTCCATGAAGATAGAAAGGTTTAATGCCATACTGTGAAAAATTCCAGGCAAAGCAATAACATCTCCATGAAGAAAAGCATTTGACGGACCCTCCACCAGAAAAGTTACACAATGCACCTTTAAAAATACTGTCTATTTAAAAGTGTTTTTCTAGGATTATTTTGGATTACTGTCAGTGTGTCAGTATCATATTTCAAAACTTGGTTATCGTGACAGGCCTATCGGTGAGAGCTATTTATAATAACATAATTTTAACCATTTGGAAAAACGTGGGTTGTTTGTAACAGAACGGATCCTAAGCTCTCAGTGGATTTGATGCAAGATTATGAGATACTTTGCACGAATTTGAGTTGTGTCCAGAAAGTAATTTGGTGCATAATGATCCTTATGTTTTTTCCCCCATTTGAATTTGCACTTTGTATTAGCATCTTTGTTTTGCATACTGTACAGCTAGGTCCTGGAAACAACTGCATTTAATTTGAATTCCTCATATTAATCAATGGATCACACTTTTTCATTTTTTCAACTTTCAGTATTTATTTCTTGAACATAAACAATACAGACTTTTAATCAGAGCCATTTCCAAAATCTGAACTCTGCTCCACACCACACCACATCTTTTACTGACAGAGGATTGGCTGTAGACCTCTGGGTCAAAAAAAAAAAAAAAAAAAGCCCTAAAATAACGATTAAGAATGACTGAATCTCCACTGAAATTCAATTAATTGCACAGACTTGGTTGAATGTTGACTGCCTTCACAATCTGAGTTAGAGCCGTGCAATTAATAGAATTAGTAATTAGGATTCCAATGGTATGGTATGAAAATGGTAATTATTTTTGCTCACTGTGCCCCTTAAAACAAAGCCATGTTTCAACACTACTGTATTTTTAATTAATTGTTTAAAATAGTGGTGATTTGACTTAGGGCCATTGACTGTAAAAGAAAAGAAGCTTATGGTGCTAGCAATTATTGGGGTGAATTTGGACCCAGGTCCATTTTAGGAATAGGAATTTATTAATGGACAAATAACAAAATAAAAAGAATAGCATCGCAGAAACGTAGCGCGGATAATACAAACATTTTAAAACCAAAATGACGAGGCTCACGGCTGTAGTTACAGAGAGAGGTGACAATTTCTAAATGCAAAGTCAATTGGAGCTAGAGTCAATGAAGCCGGAAGCCGCCCCCATGAACTTTTCATATTTTGAAGGCAGTGGCTAGTATCCAGGCTGGTGCCACCTAGTGCCTCCGCTCAGTTTAATTTTTCTTCAACGACTAGATCACAGTTCAGAATACACTAGATGGTTTGCAAGAACCTTGGGAGTTGTAGACTGTGCACCGGCCAATCAGTGAAGACCTGTAAAGCCATGACTGGGTCTCTTTTTGTGGTACAGCACAACAGTAAACAAAATGATTGAGATTGATGTAGACGATGACATAGATTCTGTGTTGGCAAGATCGAGGATTTAAAGCCGGAACAAAGAGAATGTTTGGTGAATTTTATCAAGGGGAAAGACGTTATTGCCCTTCTTCCTATAGGATTTGGGAAAAGCTTAATATACCAGTTATCCCCGTTAGCAGCGCATTACATACGTCACAACCAAATAGCGATTGGTTAAAAAAAACTACCCGCCTACCGTTGAACGAACTATTGCTGCGAGGTCAGACAATTTCCACGAAGTGAAACAGGCTGATGAATCAGGCTAAGTGGCTAGTGATGCGAAGTGGCTAGTGATGCGATTATGATTTTATTTTTTGGGGCACAACTTGACGTGTTGCAGAACTAAAGAAACTGTAGATAATCCTCTTAAACATGATCATTGTCTGATTGATTTTACACATTTTATTTCCTTTACTTTCTGGACACAACTTGCACTTTTTGCTCCTTTTCCTCTAATTGACGATGACTCTAAAGTGTGTATCTGGTGCGGGGTTTGAGAGACAGGGCTGATTGCTGCTGAGCGCTGGAACGGTCAGTGTCCACTGTCCCATAAGAAGACACTGAGTGGACAGTAGCATCTGCCCATAGTGCCCATCACATGCCACAGGTTTAACCGCACTTTGCACGGTCGGACTAGGGGTCAATGCCATACATGTTTTCATTCAGGAGGTGAATTGAGAATGCTTTCAGAGTAGTTGTTCAGTTGACCTCTTAAAAGACAAGACACTACAGGAGAGGTTTGACTCTTTAACATTTGCACTTTCACACTGCAAAATGTAGTATGAGTTTCAAAGGTGCACTGTGTACCTTTTCTATTGCAGGGTACATCAAATGCTGTTTTTCGTGGAGATGCTATTGCTTCTTCTAGGATGTTTCACAGTATTTAACCTTTCTACCCGGCTTTCGACCCGGCTCACAGTCAGAATGCCTGTTTTCAAAGTATATTTGAGCAGCAAAACCACCAAGTTAGAGCTGTTTAATCAAATCAAATTTTTTTATATAGCACATTTTAAACCACAATGCAACCATGAAATAAAACATACAATAGAAAAATCAACCACATTAATAATAAAAAATAAAAAATAGCAACAAGGTGCGAAGGTCTTTCTTCCTGACTCTAGGCAAATGTCAGGGAGAAAAGGCACATTTTGAGCTGGGATTTAAAGTGCTCCATTAATGTCATACTGTGGAATATTCCAGACAGAGCAATGGCATGTTCATAGAAACAAGCAGGTGACAGATCCCCAACATTGCACCTTTAAAGTATGCAAAACTGTTTTAGTAGAAGATTGAAGGTGAGTCCACATTTGTCCCTGGTTTGGTCCTGGTTTAAGCTCAGTTTTTAACGTAGACTTGGTTTTGTTCTGTTATAGTTCAGGAGCATAGACTGTTCAGATTCAGTCAAATGAAGCTTGCGATGTTAGTGGTTACAGGGGCGAAATTGTAGCCAAGATTTTTTTAACGGGCAGAATAGTGAAATAAAAACACCAGGATCATGTAGAGCGGTTAATATGAACATTTTAAGACCAAAATGACAAGGCTGCAGCAGTTACAGAGAGAGGGACGACAATATTCCAACGTAAATCAATGGGAGTGAGGGTCAGTAGGAGCTGGAAGAACCTGGTTGCGATCTTCCTACTTGGAACACAGCAGCTCAAGTTTTAGCTATGTTCATTTATATATATAGTCTATATGCAGGAGTCTGTGCTGTGCAGCTGGATTAGAAGATCAGTGAAGTAACTCTGGT